CTGCGTCGGCGCAGGCCACGGCTGGCGATGGTAGTCAGGGTTCCGACCATCAGGCTGGAGTACAGCGAGGTCTGCTCTCACCAGACGGGTAGTCATCAAGGCGGAAGTCTGGCGCGGAGCACGTTCCTGAAGAAGAGCAGTTTTCGACCTTGTTCGTCTGTGTGTTCTTTGCCTGTGTGTGTTTTTTGCTCGTTCTGCATGTGTACGCTTGTCTGTATGGATGATTGCAGGTGCACGGATCGTGAGTTTTCACTGAAGATGACGGTTACTGGGGTTCCTAAGCACGCGATGGCCGATTTTCTGATCGAGACATGGCGTGCCCTCCGTACTTTGGCGCTCCATGATGTTCGTATCGTAGTACCAGTTAGTCTAAAGGAAGAAAGGRTAGGAGTTGGATGAATATAAAGGAGACTAGGCTATGGAATGGTCTCCACAGTAGCATCGTGGTATTCGGACTTTGGGAAGGGGATTGTTGTTGCATCCTCCTGAAGAGTCTAATAGCGGGGTAGACGAAAAGCGTCAAGGAAAGGCCGCTTGACAGGGTTATATCTGTTGAGTTGGCAGTTTTTCAGCGGGATTCTCAGTTTGGATTTGATTCTCGTTGCTTGAGTATGCGTAGCGGAGCGTGTTGCTGGGTGTATCTGTTTCTCTCCGTTCTCATGCTGGATCGGTCTTGCCGGACCGTTTTTCTTCTCTCTTATCTGGCGCCGACTCCAGGGTGAAGTGGTTCCCCCTCCTCTCTAAGGCCCTGCTCAGTCAATCCCCTGGATTTCAGGGTAATCAATGCTGGCAGGCCCCCCCGCAACCTTTTTCGGATGTATCCCAACATTCAATTGTACATGGGATGCTGGACCCTTTTTCCAGCAGGTGATGCCCCCCACCAATAGATGGGACCTCCCCCCAGGTGCTAGCGGTGTCTGCTCTTATCAGCACCACTAGCAATGGCAGGGGTGTTTAAAAAAAAAAAAAAAAAAAAGAGATATCCAATCCCTCAACGTCAATGGGCTGGTCTCGGCATCAACTCATAAAAAGGGGGCAATATGGGACACCATTTGCTGCGCAGGCTTGCCAAATGCCATTTGTATACAAGAAACACACTTGACACAGACACAGCCCTGGATCTGCCACGCTAATTCTTCCACCTTTCCTTCTGCCAAGGATCAGCCCCAGAATAGTATTGTCATCCAACACAGATATTCAGGATGCCAGGTTTTCCCAGAACAAGCAGGCGCCCTGGTGCAGGGTGAAGAGGCATCCGCCCACCGCAATCCAACCTCTGCCCAGTCAATCCCCTGAGTCCTTCGGGGCAAGCAATGCTGGCAGAGAACTGTTCGGACAAATGTACTTGTACGCAAGGGACGCTGGACCCGCTTTCCAGCAGGTGCAGCTCCCCACCAATAGATTGGAGCAACAAGAAAATATGCTAGCCAGGCGTGCTCTTATCACCCTTTCTAGCAGAACCTGTCCATATGCCTCTTATTCAGCCCCTGCATGGCCTCCAGCGGCGTTACACTTTCGTAACCCCAGTCAACCAGACTGGTACCCATCAACAAGGCAACAATAAGTTGGAAGGGTGATGGGTTTATAGCCTCCTTATTGGAGGAGAATATTTTTGTGGTCAGTGTTTATGGACCTGATGTCCCCACAGATAGGGTTGGCTTTCTACATAATTTGTGCCCCTAATCACATCAGGAGACTTTTGCATAACATCAAATTCCCAGCTAGATCAACGATCATACGCAATAAGCACGCAGGACCAAGTAATGTTCCCCTAATCACAGCAGGAGACTTTAACAGAATATCAAATTCCCAGAGAGATCAACAAATCATGCGCAATAAGCATGCGGTATCCCCCAGGCAGGATGGATACCTCCACAGCCCATCAACCATGCCAAATCAATTCAAGGCCGAGCTACACCTCATTCTTGCCTACAGACAATTGAACCCCTCCAAAAGAGCCTACACATGTATCAAATCCAGGATGAAGCTGACCTGTCCAGTTCCAGAACTGATCTCTTCCATAGCTGGACTTTGCTATGCGATCTGCCGCAGTTCAAGATAACATCTTCAACTGGTCCGTGTCTCTCGTCTTCGTCTTCTTCTTTTTTTCTTTTTTTTCTTTTTTTTTCTTTTTAAGAAAGGCGTGTTCTCATTATATGAACAAAGGAGGACTAGAATCCTTCCACATCTCAACCTGGAACGCTGGGCCCGATACCCAGCTTAGGCTCATACTGGAAAACGGGTCCAGTGTCCCATGCTTTAAAATCCCAACATGCTATTCCAAAACGAAATATAGAAACTGGTCCGTATCTTAGTTGTGTGTGTGTGTGTGTGTGCCTGTGTGTGTGTGTGTGTGTGTGTGTGTGTGTGTGTGAGTGTGTGTGTGTGTGAGAGAGAGAGAGAGAGAGAGAGAGAGAGAGAGAGAGAGAGAGA